AGTAATCACCTAGCCGATTTAAGAAGTGTTTTCGAAAGATGTCGACAGTACAAATTAAGGATGAACCTGCTAAATGCGCCTTTAGGGTCGGGGCTGGCCGATTCCTGGGTTTTATAGTGCATCGACAAGGTATTGACATTGAGCGAAGCAAGGCCCGAGTTATCATGGAGATGCCGCCGCCGCCGCAATCTCTCAAACAGCTAAAGAGTTTGATGGGACGGGTTTCGTATCTACAACGCTTCATACCCGCACTTGCCGAGGTAACTCATGTCTTTGGCACTCTAACAAAAAAGGGCTCCGAGTTCAGATGGAGTGAGGAACATCAACGGGCTTTTGACCATCTTAAGGGGTTGTTATCCTCGCCGACCACCATGATAGCCCCTCAGATAGGGGTTCCTCTCAAGCTTTATATTACCTCGACGGAACGCTCCATTGGGGCGTTTCTCGCCCTGGAAAAAGATGGCCGAGAGCGTCCAATAACATCAGTCGAGTTGTGCAAGGTGCCGAAGCACGATATTCTCTGATAGAGCGCCACTGCTTGTCCTTAGCATTTGCAGCTAAAAAGTTTCGCCATTATTTTTTGGCTCATACCGTTCATCTCATCACCAAATGTGACCCGCTGAGGTACTTGCTTTCGCGGCCAATCATTTCAGGCCGAGTGGCGCGGTGGCTCCTGATGTTGGCCGAGTTTGATATCCAGTGCCTGGCACCTCGCGCCATCCTGAGTCAAGCCATGGTAGATCTGATAGCTCAATTCCCTTCTGGAAACTTAGAGCAGGTGCATGACGACCTTCCTCACGACGAGTTCAAGTCGGTTTGCTGCGTAGACGAAAATATGATATGGACTCTGTCATTTGACGGGTCGTCGACCTCTACAGGAGTTGTATTGACCCTTGAGGAAGGCAAAGCCCGAAATCTTTCATATAAGCTTACCTTCGGATGCTCCAATAATACGGCGGAATATAAAGCCCTGGTGTTAGGCCTCTTAGTAGCGCGAGAAGCTAAGGTCAAACGGTTGCACATTCAAGGTGACTCGAACTTGGTAGTAAACAGTTGGATGGTTCTTATGCTATCAAGGAGCTGACTTTGGCGGCATACAGGACAGTCATTCAGAAGCTTAGCAGTAACTTCGATGAACTCCGTATAACTCATGCGCCTCGGACGGCCAATCGACACCCGGGCGCTCTGGCTACCTTGGCGTCTAAGGCTGAAATTACAGGGGAGTCGGTAGACATTCGAATCCAGAAGAAAGAGGAGTCTTGCTTGCACAGTGAAGAGTTTGCTGATCAGAAGGATGAGGGGGACTGGCGGAACCTGTATGAGTCGCAATTGAAAGGCAGTGCGGGCGAAATTCCTTTGCAGATACTCAAAAACTTTACGTTGTATCTAGGAGTGTTGTACTTCAGGGCACCGGGAGGAACCCTGGCCAGATGTATTGGAAAACAGGAGGCCGACCAAGTGCTGGACAAATTGCACAGGCATACGTGTGGGGATAACTCCTTGAGCCTGTACCGGAGAATACGAAGGCAGGGATACTACTGGCTTTCGATGGCAAAGGACGCAGTAACAATACAGAAAGCATGTCTCGATTGCCGAGAATTACTCGAGGAGGCTCAGTGTGTGGCCAATGTCGAGGAAGACTGGAGGTGCAAGTATACGGGGTATTTTGAAAAACGATATCTCCCACAGGACCCCGAGGAGGCCGCTCTACTTAGGAGGGAAGCAATCCGATTCTTCATCTGCAACGGCGAATTAATGAGGCGAAGCTTTGACAGTAAGGCTAAGCGATGTGTCAGTATGACTGAAGCCCGTGAAGTTCTGAAGCAGGCTCATGACGACGAACACTAGGGGTGGAAGAAATTGTACAACCGCATCATACAACTAGGCTATTACTGGCCTACGATGCAGATTGACAGCAGAGATTACGCCAGGAAATGCAGAGAATGCCAAATCCAGTCATGCCATCCACGCGCCAGCAGTAGAGCTACACCCCACGGACGCCCCTTGGCCGTTTCACACTTGGGCCATGGATTTGATAGGACCAATCTCGCCCAAGTCGGGAAAAATGAAGTGGATACTAGTGGCAACAGAGATCTATACTAAGTGGGTCGAGGCAGTAGCTCTGTCGACGGCAATCAGGCAGGTGGTGGCGAACTTCATTAAAGAAAATATAATATGTCGCTTCGGTGTACCTCGGGTCATCGTATCGGACAACGGAACCCCCTTCATCAACAACAGGGTTCATGCACTCCTTCGAGGATATCGGGTGGCCCACCGCAAGTCTACGCCTTATTATTCGAAAGGTAACGGACAAGCAGAGGCGACTAACAAGACCCTACTTCGGATTTTGAGTAGAACTTTAAAGGAACAGCATGACAAATGGGCTAAGCAGTAACCACTTGCGCTTTGGGCATACCGAACTACCACAAGAGGAGCCACAGGTACCACGCCCTTCTCCCTGGTATATGGTACAGAAGCAGTGCTCTCAATCGAGATAGCAATTCTGTCTGGAAGTTTGGCAGAGCAGAGTCAACTGCGGTTTGACCCCAGGATTGGGGAGCTCGAGGGGGATTGCCAAATTCTTCACGTGCGCTCCACTTCAAGAGTCGGGAGGTGTGCTGCACAGACGCGGTCATACTGGAAGGAGGAAACTCTTCAAGAAGCCTATCATCTTGATAGCACGAAGCTATCTTCCCCGCCGAGGTAACGCCGTTACGCAACTTGGCAGCAAGTTTGACTTCGTCCTCAGGAATGGACTAAGAGTTGGGGTCGTGTTCACTAAACACATTTAAACACATAAGCTGTACTACGTCTTCTAAGGTTCTTCTAAGGTGGGGGAAAACTCTCCCCAAGAAGTGAAAAAAGTATGGGTATCTCGGCTCCACCGAGACAGAAGAAGAGCGAGGTCATGAACGTCTCGAGGTATGGTCAACTCTCGGGTGTTGCGAACAGCGTCTGTAATCCTTGAAGCCTGCAAAATCCCTGAAAACTCGGCATCAGACAAAATCGCATTTGTCCATAATTCCCACCCTCGTCCATAGCCAGTTTGACTCGTAAAGGGAACATTAGAATGAGGAAAGTCGCCGCGCTCTACCTTGAACCGCAAAATCGAGCTAGGCTGAATGGGCACCCCCGCGAGTGCATAAGGTTCGCCCTCAAATAAGAAAGTGCTTTCCTGAGCCTCGTCCATTTCACTTAACGCATCGCTGTTAGCCCAGAAGGTGTCGTTTGGACCAAAATAAGGAGCAACTCGCCACTCATTCAAAGGGGGGACATCGGGGACATCGTCACGCACTGCCATGATCTTTGGCTCTGAGTGTGAATCTTTGTTTACCGAGGGGGGAGTGAGGAGGATGAGTATTGTTTACGCCTTGAAAAATGCCCTAGTACAACTTAAATAGTGAGGGTTCGGCATCCCAGGCATCATACCTCTGGCTAATGAAGGGACGCGACTCGAGACCCAAAGCGTCATAAACTGACACGCCAATAAAAGAGGCAACACGTGGATCAAGAAGCCAGAGCGACATGACCCTCTGAAGTGACGCAACTCCTCGGTACTGGAATGATATGACCCTTCAATAGAAATAATAATGACCAAAATTGGATCGAATTAGTGGATTGCTCGAGCTCCCCTCTTGGCAACCTCGAACAGGGGGGCAAAATGTTGATGACCGCGCCATTTTAGCTGCTTAAGCGGCGCCACCTTTGCAAAATAGGCACAACTGGCCAGCGTCTACCTGGCATACCCGCGGTGGATTAGGTATTCTCGAGCTACCTATCCAATAACTGAACTCACTAGCCGAGGAAGGGGTCGCTACCCTTCCTCTACTGTGGACGCGCCCCGCTCCAGTCGGATGGGCCCCTCCCCCCCTGGCTTGTTCGAGGACGCTCTCTGAAAGAGCGGCTTCTGCTAATCTGTTTTGCACGCCCCCTTTTCCGGTTAAGGAAGCTTCGGGATGAAATTGGGATAGAATCCTGCGAGATCATGAAGGCAGGATCTCGAAAGGGATCTATTCCTTCTGAAGGTCGGGAATATGAGGACATGTGGATAGGTGGCTGAGATCCAAGGGCTCGCCTCGGCCCGAGGACGGCACGAGGGGGAAAGGATACTCAGTACCCGAGCTCGAACAAGGATAGAAGACGTATTAATTACGAAAGACGTCTGATAGGGCCCATATTAATTAAGAAGCACCATTACCCCCTTTAACCAAGGGGTAAAGCATGGTGAACCATCCGTCAATGTCTTTTCCGTCAGAAGAAGAGACCCTCGAACCTTTGAGTGAGAGCAAGTTCATTAAAAAAACTAAAAGATATTAACCGAAGAGGAAAACACTATAAATAGGGGTGTTAATCAGCCTTTAAGACAACAACAACCCACATTAATAGCTATTATTTGATAAGCTTGAGCTCATATGGTACGGGGGGTTGGCCTTCCCTTTCTTAACCTCCATAGCCGGAGAATCTCTCGTGTTGCTTGGATCTCCACTTGGATACTGTTCTCAAGATTCTTGGCTTACGTGGAACGATCTTCTAATCCCATTCACGAACTACCATCAACAGCTATAAACCATTTTAACATAGCTGATAGCTCTATTGGGTTTCTCTTCAGAGATCTAAGCTTTTAGGAGACAATGACATGTCTTGCTAACATAGATGTTCAATAAGATCTTAATAACTAAGAAAATGTGGATCGTAGTAGATAAGAAAATGTCTAATGAGTTGCTTAAAATTAATTTTTTACCAACATATAAAATAAGGGATATTCAAAGTTTTTCTAAATATCATGATATTAAAATATTTAACAATGTTATATTGTGGAGTGATTAAGTAATGACTAAGGCTTCAAATTACAGCATGGAAAAATTAATTATGTAACCTTTTCATTGTCTTTTTCATTTATTTATTTTTAGTTAATTGTTATAAGCAAATGGTTTGGTTATATTTATTTAACATATTCGTATATGTGTGTGTGTGTGTATATATATGTATATATTGTGCAGGAGAAGATCATGAGAGTTCCATATGGACCAAACAAAGAATTTTTTAAATACTCATTGTTTCTTGTTTTCTGCAATCGCATTACAACATCAGCGGTTTCAGCAGGCGCTTTACTGGTACCTAGCTATATGTGGTTAATTGATCAATTTTTGTAGGCCCTACTAGGTATACAATTTTAGTTCATGGAGATTCTGGTTCAGTTCACACATACTGCACTTTAATAGGAATTTACCTAGACTTGAAGCATCTTTGTTCAGCTAAAATTTATTACATCAATATCTTCTCTTCTCTAGGCAAGTAAAAAGGCATTGGACCCTGTTGCTCCAGTCTATAAATATTGCCTTGTATCAATAACGAACATTCTAACCACTACATGTCAATACGAGGTAACCTTTGCTTATTTACAGTGTTATTTACCATGATTTATATGAGAGATAAAATTAAAGTACAATGTTTTTGGTTCTGTTAGAAAAGTCACTTGAAGGTTCAAAAGTAATAATTAATTATTGTATTAATTATTTATTAACCCCTTGAAATCTTGCTCCAGGCCCTTAAATATGTCAGTTTTCCTGTTCAGACACTTGCAAAATGTGCCAAAATGATACCTGTGATGGTAAGTTAACTGTGTAAATAATAATGGTAGTTACTTTTTCCATTTCTAATTTTCCCAAATAAACAGAATTGCTTGTGTTATACAGTTATACCAATTGTCATTATTTTCTTCTATGTAATTTCTCATGGCTGTAGTTGCTGTTTTGCCAAAAAATTTGTTTATACATTTGCATATTTACTTGCTTTTTATTTTTTATTTTTTTTTATTTTTTTTTGCCGTGTAATTGTTCCTTTGAAAATTGATAGCTGATAGGTTAATGTTGTAAGTTGGAGCTACTTTTTTGTTCCATCTTTTGGTTCCAAATCTAGCGTTGTATACAGATGCTCTCAGCCTCTCACTATCACTTCAAAAATAAATTGTTATTATACTATTATCATTTCCAATGTTTTTTGTCACCTTTTTTACAGCATTAAATGTTGCAGTTGGATGCTAAGAATCGTAAAATTTTAAAAACTGTTGTTTAGTACATCTTGTATGGTAAAAGTTCTTCCCCATTCCTTCCCTCCCATAGAAAAAAAAAAATAATGAAACAAAGAAAAAAGGAAAAAAGAGAACTTTTCTGGATGAAATTCCATTAATAGAACATGCTTCCTCAGTGTTTTTTATGGTGTCTTCCCATGTGTTGATTTTCATTCTCATTCTTTGTTCCTCTTTTTTTATTTTCATTCTTTCCTTTCTGTTTTTGGGAAATAAAGCAGTTGTGCTAAGCCCTCAGCAAATATGTTTATATCTTTGAACACATCTTATCACTAACAAATTAGTGGTTTCTTTAAAAATTGTAGCATGAGTGGTATAACAGGCTTTGACACACCATATGGGTCCTATCTTTATACCGTAAAGATTATTCTTGATCGAATGGGTTAAGGAGACCTGACTTATCCCAAAATAGAAATAACAAAAGAAAAAAAAAGAAAGAAAAGAAACATGCACGACGTTAATGGTTCTAAAAAAATAGGATTTGGGTGCAGCATGAATAGGATGATATAATTATATATATAATGGATGATGCGATGGAGAGAAATGAGGTAAAAAGTGGACACCATTTATTCTTCACTACCACATTTCCTTTTGGAGAAGCCTTTGATGGAGGCCATTGAAAACGATTCTACCGCCTAGTAGAAGTCATTCTATCATATAACTTAGTTTAGCGCTAATATTTTTTTGCTTCAATTAGGAAATTGCCGATCATTGGTAGATGAATCATATTGCATTTGTCTGTTTCACGCAATTACATTTTATTTCTCCTTTTTTTGGCTTGATCGAACTCTTCATTCATTCTTTTTCTATTAATTATGCAGCTTTGGAGCACTGTCATTATGCAAAAGCATTACAAGGCGCAAGACTATTTTTTGGCTTTTCTAGTGATGCTTGGGTGTGCATTATTCATTCTATACCCGGTAAACAATTACAGTTTCATTCTTCTATATCTGCCTGGTTTCAGTACTGTTCCATTCTGGCATGTCAAGTAATTTACATTCTAAAGGCAGGTGATGAATGTCAACATGATGCTGACTCTCACTTCCCACGTATGGTCGACTAATATCCGCAATCCAACTTTGTTTCATGGTGAATAATTAATTAATTTACTGCCAAAGAATTAACAATTTACTGAAATATCCTATTATATCATTAATTATTTGTACAAAAACTTAGAATAGGATTTAATGAGAATATAAGAAAATATTTTCTGAGAGTTGGAATGACATATATGCTGTTCTTTGTGTAAAAGGTTTCTACATGTAAAGTAGTTCTTGGTTTCTAAAAGTGAAAGAGAAAATTTATTAGTTTCTTTTTGGTAAGTAAGTGAAATTCTTATCCAAAAAAAGAAAGATATTACCATGAAGCTCAACACACATCACTAGAGAAGAAATATCCCACCAATAGAAAAGACAAAAAAATCTCATATTACATGAGAATCTAGTTAAAAAAAAAGGACAACCTAAAAAGTAACAGCAGAGAAATTGAAAGTTTTTGGGAAGACATGCATTAATTAATAAATATTCTGTCTTACCAGGGTGTTCAAACCTAGGTTTACATAAAAAAGATCTGTCTTTCACATTTATTAATTAATGCAGAGTTCTGTACAAGGTGTTAACTTGATTTAGTTTTCTCCTGATTTTGGTTCCATCATGAACCAAGAATACAATCCATAAACACCATGATTCTACATGGTATAAATTATCTATGAATGCTGGAATTAAGAGGTATTGGACCATGATTGGTTGGGTGCCATCATCAATATGGTGATCTTCACCACAGATCATCATCCAAAGCTTTAGATCTAGTTTCTTATACTTTTCATATTTTCAAGGGTCTCTTTCTTTTTTTTTTTTTTTTTTTTTTTGTGGTAATTAACCACACATTTGCTAACATTTTCATCTATGTTGTGATTACCATAATACATGTTAAATATTTGCTAAAATATCCATCCATTATGTAAGTACCATTACTCATGTTACTTCTATAACCAAGTAAGATGCAGGCTTGTCTCCTAGTACACTTGAGTATGTTACTCCCGCTTATCACTTATCTTCACAATACACTCAGAAATGTACTTTTTGAAAACTGATGTCATAATCATCATTATTTAAGTATAGGCACTGTATTTCTTATGGTTAGACATAGGTCAGAGTGCCACTATAGAAGAGACATTCCTTTTTCTTTGTGTTTCTAGATGAAACGATGGCTAATAAAGACCTCTAGCGTTTTCAGGTGTCCAATCTGGAGTATTTTAAATTCTCGTGTATGTACAAAAGAGTACTGCAAGAATATATGGGAAAAGAAAGTAATTGAGCATTATTCATAGCTTTCACTAAGAAAAATATTTTATTTGTGAATATAAGTTTCAATAAGGTCACTTGGATGCTGCTGTTGTTACTGCACTAACCCCACCTTTTTGGGGTAGGTTAATGCACATGGCTTTATTAACCTGTGCCAAATTTTTAATATTAACTGAATGGTTTTCATTTTGCATTTGATTTAGGCTGCAGGTGACATTAGTCCATACGATAGAGGAACGGAAAGCACTGTCTGGGGTGTTTCATTAATGATTGGTTATCTTGGGTATCAGTTTCTAACTTAAATTCAATCATTACACTCTTTTTGAACTTTTTAATTATTTTCTTTTTAAACTTTTAGTATCCTGAATCTGACATGGAATACAACCTAAATCACTTTTACATCCATGTCCCAAAAAACAACATGAAATTATTATAGTACACTGACTGCTAAAAACTTTTAGATAAATAAAACGATCAGCAGCTTAATAAAAAATACATGAAGTAATAAACAATGTGACTTATTCCCAAGTGGGCCTTGTCTTGAAATTGTAACTTATTGCGCAGTCATTTTCTTCAAATTTCCTTTTTCTTAAGAGCAACCCCAGCGCTGTGCTTGTTTTCCATTCCACACTTTCTATAAAGTGTATAGCCACATCATCAACTTTATGTAAAGTGTATAGTCACGTCATCATTGATTGTACACTTATTTTGAAGGCTCCAAGTTCTTGTTGTGCACTCATTTTTTCATTGTACAATTTATTATATTATTATTTTTAAAATAATAAAGTAAATTTTTTTATTGTTTTTTTTTTCCAACCGTTTTTTCTCAACAACTATAATACTAACAGCTATAATTGTTTGCTCCGATTTAGATACAAGATTTGAACAATATATATATATTAAAAAACAATAATATTACACATATATATATATATATATATAAATAAATAAAAGTGCATTACATAGCTTTCCTACAAATAAAATAAAACAATACAACTCAGGAAAAAAAAAAAATAGTAAACATTATAATTAATTGCCCCTTTTTGCATAACGCGCCATAATTTTATTTTGTCTTTTTCCTAACGGTTATATTCCCAACGGCTATATTATGTTTGTCTTATTCTAACGGTTATATTATGTTTGTCTTTTTGCTAACGGATATATTCTGTTTGTTTTTTCTTCAACAACTATATTCTCAATGGCTATATAAACCACTCATCTCTCATTTTTTCAATTACCAAGTCCATTTCTTTACATCTTCAAATTCATTTTCTCTTCTTTGAGTCTTTATCTTTATTATAGAAAAAAAATGGCTTCATCATCATAATCTATTCCAGTGTCCGGGTCAATTTCTCCATTAAGTTCCTTTTCATCTTCTGTCGGGGAAGATTTTTTTGAAGAACGTCAAAAAAGGATGAATGCAGTGATGCAATTGTTATCGCCTGAGAAGGTAAAGGCATTCTTTCGACGTCGTAAGAGAAGATATATTAAACATGATCAAGAGGAAGCAGCCCAGCGGCTATTCCAAGATTATTTTGCTGAAAATCCCACTTTTCCACCTGAGATGTTTCGTAGACGATTTCGGATGCGCCGAGAGTAGTTTATTCGCATTTTAAATGATGTTACAGCATATGACGAATGGTTCATCCAGAAGCTTGATGCCCTCGGTCGTATGGGTTTCACTCCTATACAGAAGATGACAGCTGCAATACGTATACTCGCATATGGAATTTCAGCAGATCTTAGTGATGAGTATATAAAGATTTCTGAAACCACTGCGGTTGAAAGCTTGAAGCGCTTTTGTGATGCTGTAATTGCGGTGTATGCAGGGCAATACCAATGCACACCGAACGAAGAGGACATTGCACTTCTGCTTCGAGAAGGGAAAGAAAGAGGCTTCCTAGGTATGCTTGGCTTTATAGATTGTATGCATTGGGTATGGAAGAACTGCCCTACAGGGTGGCATGGCACACACAGGGGAAGAAATCATAAGCCTATCCTCATATTGGAGGCGGTTGCATCGAAAGATCTGTGAATCTGGCATGCTTTCTTTGGTATGGCTAGTTTAAACAATGATGTGAATGTCTTGGATCATTCCCCAGTATTCAATAGTCTGATTAATGGCACAATGCCTCCGATTAATTACGAGGTAAATGTGCATCGATGTACAATGGGGTATTACCTATCTGATGGTATTTATCCTAAGTGAGCAACTTTGATTCAGACCAACCCACACCCAACAACTGTCAAAGAGAAATTGTTTGCTAAAAAACAAGAAGCTGTTAGGAAAGATGTTGAACGAGCGTTTGGCGTGTTGCAGATCAGGTGGGCTATAACGCAAGGACCTGTGTATTATTGGGATAAAGAAGATTTAAACAAGATAATGAGAACGTGCATCATATTGCATAAGTAAATCGATGTACAATGGGGTATTACCTATCTGATGGTATTTATCCTAAGTGAGCAACTTTGATTCAGACCATCCCACACCCAACAACTGTCAAAGAGAAATTGTTTGCTAAAAAACAAGAAGCTGTTAGGAAAGATGTTGAACGAGCGTTTGGCGTGTTGCAGATCAGGTGGGCTATAACGCAAGGACCTGTGTATTATTGGGATAAAGAAGATTTAAACAAGATAATGAGAACGTGCATCATATTGCATAATATGATCATTGAAGATGAGCATGGACACATTTTGCAATGGACACCTCCGCTGGATGAGCCAATATCCCTCCCTCAATACATTCGAAACCCAACAATGTTGGCAGCACACATCTCCGATTGTTTTAGAAGAATTCGTAATAGAGCGGATAATGCTGATCTCATGAGACATCTGATGGACCATTTGTGGAATCAATTTGGTAATGAAGATGTTTAAATTTGGTATAATCGAATAAAATGTAATTTTTATATTATTATGCGAATTAATTAAATCAGTACGTGATGAAGATGTTTAAATTTATTAATTGAATAAAATTTTATTTTTTATATTATTATGCAAATTAATTAAATTATTATGTAATAAATAAATAAATAAAATTGATTAGTCAATGTGTACAAACTTTTTTTAAAAAAATAAAATTAATTAAACTATCATGCAAATTAAATGACTCTTTTTTTTTATTTAGGAAAAATGATTTTTTTTCTTAATTAATAAAAATTTGACTATCTTTACATTAATTAATTAATTCAATACACATACAATAATTATTTTACACACCATCACACAATATCATTTTTTTCATTTTATATTATTTTCTCACACACAATGACCCAACAATGACCCACTGCGCCTGCGCTTCTGCTACTACCAGCCGCTACTTCATTCCTTAACTGTGAAGTGTGGAGTATGTAATATGAGATGGGCCCCACTTGTGTGTAATCTGCATACTAGAGCCTTTCCATTCCACACAGGCTCACATATTGTACGCTTTGCTACGCGCTGGGGTTGCTCTAAGTACTTTAGAGAGCTAGGGAGTACGGACGCTTCTACAAAGGTGCCTTGTCCATATGCATCATGGACAATTTTGAGTATGTATTTCACACCTAACAGACACGTCCTTAATTTTGGACACTTAGTGCACATCTTAGACAGTCTTAACGTTTGACTTGTGATAAAGATTTTCTGAAAGGAGTCTGTTTGACAATCTTGGAAACAAGATGAATACACCTAACATGTCCAATCTGTGTTTAAACAATTTGAGATTTACACATGACTAACACAGGTAAAGCATGAAATGAGCACTTTAATATAAATGAAGAAAATAATTATAATAGCAGAAGTATAGCAGGAGAGAAGGTTATATCTCACATTATGCAGTTTTGGTATAAAAATTCTGAACTCGTTTAATGTCCTATAATAATTATCTTTCACAATACATGTATAAAAGTAAAACTTTCTATTTTTATATTGCTGTGATATGCCTGTGTCCTAGGATTGTACATGCTGGTGAATTTGTCGTATTATGTTAGTGTCTGTGTTTCTTTGGTTGGGAGAAGACTACTATAAGAAAACAATTTAACATGACACCAGCAGAGTGCACATTTCTACTGTTATTTGGTTGAATAGGGGAGAAAGAAAGCAATGTTTAAGATTCCTCAACTTGAAATTCATATGGCTGAGTAATCTAGCATGTCGAACGACACTGCTTGCGTGCTGGTGGTTTGAAGTATCAATAGCTGTAAATTATAACCATCTAAATATGTATACATATATACAATATACAATATTATGCAAATATAGAGATGCATCTAGTATTCCTTAAGATACCCTTTCACCATAAATGAATTAAGCTTTTGACATTTTCATCAATATCAAGCTTTTGACATTTTCATCAATATCAAGCTTTTGATATTTTCATCCATATGCTACACTGTACCAGCATTAGTAAAACCATTATATTCCTATTAGCTTTGTGAACATTACCTTCGTGATGACCTAAATATATGTTGGGGAAAGTTATTGTAATGCTACATACCTATGTGTTTAGATGTGTTTTTAATGTCAGGTTTGATGGCTTCACAAGCACATTCCAGGATAATTTATTCAAAGGATATGATATGGAAATACACAATCAAATATTCTACACAACATCATGTTCTTGTATACTCAGCTTGACTGGTAAGTTCCATCTTTAGCTGAATCTCATAACATTCTGAAGAATTTATTTAGTTATTTATTTTATCTATAGTATCTTGAATGATGGTTCTTTTCCCTTGGTTGTGTTAGAGATGATGTTGGGGTTGTTGGTATTTAGGAAGAAAAATTATAGTTTCATTGTTTCCATTCTATCTCTCTCTCTCTCTCTCTACATGTATATATATGTGTGTGGATATATTTTATTTATAGGCATAAAGAAAAATTCTTACTGTATATCTTCTTACTAAGCTATGAGTTTCACTTGATGTTTGAAAGTTTCACTAGCTCAACACATGAGAAGGAACTGCAATTCATAGTTTATTAGCATTGCTAATGGTCAAGTCATTTTATCGTATGCAAGCACTTTGAGGGGATAAGATCAAGGTTTAAAGTTCAGCTTCGGATCCAACTTTGGTAACCAAAGATGCTGAATTGATCTATGGAATTTTTAATCAAGTCGTATACAAGGATTTAAATTTTTGACTTTGCGTGAACTTCGGTCACTTGTGAAATTAATCAAAGGAATTTCTTTGAAGCTTTGTAAAAGGATACATCTACTTGAGCTTTTCTATCCACGCTGGAGTCGCATACTTATGCATGCTAGAAGGTGTTAGGGTGCAGTGTCTGGCATTGTAATTGCTCAAACTAAAAGTCATTGGTTTGGTAAGTATGTGTCAGTCAACCAGAGTTGATTTTCTTGCTGAAATACATTAGAAACTTGATTGCGGAAATTCCTCTACGCTGATCCAAGTATCCAAATCTGAAAAATTGCCTAATCCTGTTAACTTTGATTTGGCTTTCTAAAACATTATAAACAGGTTAAACGATTTTTTCATTACATTATTAAAAATTTATTGGATGCATTGGTTAGAAATGGAACGCATTCTGAGAGATAAATGTAGCTTTGGGGGAGAAAATCCACAACAATTTGGGAAGTAAATAGCGACGGAGATGACTGTTGGGATTATATGTCACTTTTTAGAACTTAATAGAAAACATGACTTTATCCACTTGAAAACTCAAAATATCATATAAAAATGCAAGATAATACACTGAAGGAAAATTCACTTCAAATGAATAACATGAAGTTTCAAACAATAAGAAGTGAGGGAGGTATGTTTGAATGCAGAATCAATTCTGTCTATGAAGAGGAAAATATGACTGTTGGGAACTCAGGAATAGTGTCTTTTCAGAATTCACACACTTACTATCAAATAAGTAAATAATTATATATATATATATATATATATATATATATTTCATTGACCAAATTATAACAAGAAATCCTAAGTTAATAATTTGATTTTGTATAAAATGAATTAAGTCTATGAATGAGAAATACATAACTTATAGCAATCTCGGTTTAATATAAAATGATAACTATCTTCTTTTATTAATGTTGATGTGATATAAAATAATATAAAATTTTCAGGAAAAAAAAACAATGAATATAAAAATCCTCTTGACATTTATATTATCTCATACATATAGAATAATACACCTACATTTAGAGTAATACACCTAGAAATTGTGAGCATATAGAGTGAGATTTTGATAGCCGTGCACATAATTTAGGTCATTCTTGAGAACCTTAGAAGAATTTTGTATGGTCAAAGCTTTTTTTGGGGCTCGACTTAAAGTTTGCTTTGAACAACAACCAGTGACAATTCTTTTCTTCAATCTTCGGAAGACTGGAGACTGGTGTTACTTATTGCCTATAATGGGGTTCCTAGTAGAGTGAGTGAAGTCATTGTACGTTTCTTACGAGTGTCTAGAAGAGTTAGTGTGTGGTGACGAGTACTATGAACTATGAAGAACGTTGGATTGCATGGCGATGAATTCATTGACCAGCTATTAGAATTTCTACTAAAAGGTCAGATGTATGAAGGGTAGAGGTAAATCAACTTTGGTTATTCATGGAGAAGAGTCCATAAACAGAAGTTGTATTCTTCTCCTACACAGTGGATTGTTTAGCATCTCCTATGATTTGTTCTGCTTTCCGTTTTACGTATAAAGATCTCTGTGATTACTTTTATTGCTTTTGATTATATATTTGGATGGTATGAATAAGTACTTTTTCAGTCACTGATTGATACAATTTAAATGCTCAGGTGACAAAATTGAGGACTCGAATTTGAGTATGAGAGGAGCCCTTCTATGCATGTTTGATCGATGACTAATTAGATTAAATTTAAAATTGATAATTAACCTTCCAAATGACATAAAAAAGGAGGGACATATCCACCCCTCTTCTAGGTTTGAAACACCACTAGTGAATTCATCTGGATTCTTCGTGTGCACAACTATCAGAAGTTGTTTCCAATTATAAACCACCTAATATTTAACACCTAAATACAGTTTATAATTCCTTCTCCCGAATCTCCCTGGCATGGCCTTGGAGGCATGTTTGGTATATATGCCTGTTAAAATACAAGGAAATTATGTTCATCGAATTCTAAGATTGCACCTTATATACCCTCAGGGTTTTTTTTTTCCCTAGTTTACCCTCAGGATTTTACTTGTGTTTGTTCCTAGTATGATCAAACCTCAAAATCAGCAAAGGATATTTGTGTTTGGAGGCCTGAAATTTTAATTTTAGGTCATTATATGGTAAGTCCTCACTGAAAGATTTTTTGATGATTGACTTCTCTCTCGAACCTAACAAGAAAGGAGTTACAATTACTTCTGCTTCTTTGTTAGCTGAATAAAGGCTGATGCCATTCACATTAATTTTCATGGCACATGCAATTTCATTTATGTAATGGGTACTGATTTTTGTCTAATGATATCCTCATGATGTAGTCTGAGAACCCTATTTTGCTGAGTAGATAGGTAGTCCTAGACTCCTAGTTGAAACAATTATTTGAAACTATTTTTCCTCTTTATTTTCCTTGTATGAGCATCTTTTGTGCCTTCCGAGTTTATGTGTTGTATTTTAGTTTCCAATGACTAAATAGTGTTGGCTTTCTTTGTTTCTATTAGGTCTAATACTACAGGGGCATCTTCTAATGGCAGTAGATTTCGTTTACCGCCACAATGATTGTTTCTTCGACATTGCACTGCTTTCCACTGTAAGTATCTTTGTAACACTACAGTTCCTTGACAATAAATTTGAAGCTTGTGAGGCAAGATAGCAGACTGGTTAGTCAGCTAGCAGACGAGACAGACAAAAACTAGATTATAATATAATAATATATTCAAGAAATCCATCGGAATCGCTGGCTTTTAAAAGCTTTTCTAGTTCTTCTCCCATTTCTATTAATAACATTGCTGTTATATCATTCTCATGCCAGCAGATGATGTCCATTTTCCTCAACATAACCAAAAATAATTATTTATTCCTATTTTCATTGCAGGTAGCAACTGCCAGTCAATTCTTCATTTCTTACACAATTCGCACATTTGGCGCTCTAACATTCGCTACAATAATGACAACTAGACAGGTAAAAAGATAAGTTCCCAAAAAAATAAATAAAAAAATTCTTGATCTGTTTCCTCTGTCATTTACATTTATGCTTCTGATTTATGGTGCCCATCAAATTCTTTTGTCGATAAAGTTGGTGAGCATTCTGCTGTCATGTTTGTGGTTTGCCCATCCACTCAGCTGGGAACAGAGCGTTGGAGCTGTAAGCCTCGACCTTGATCCTTTTATACATATATATATTTGAAAATTTCAGAAGCCCGTTCAAACTAATTTGTTTTATCGATCAGGTTATTGTTTTTGGATCCCTTTATGCAAGAAGCTTTTTGAAAAATAGACCTCAGAAACCGTCATCTCCAGAACATTTGCAAAATTGACCTAGTCCACTGAAGGCAAACCCCTGATACAAGATGGTCTGGTGTTCCCTCTTCGGTATTGGCTTCAAGTCCAGTGATAGGGTGCTGTATTTGCAGCAGCGTGGAGTGCATGCCTATATGTACAAATATTTCATAGGGATATTAATTATAAACTAACTAAAGCCACAAGAATGAGTTTTATTTATTTATTTTTTCTTTCGCTTTTTCCATTTTAAAAAAGAAATGTACAAATAATTAAAATAAAGTCTATATGTATAATCATACACAAATTATAGCTCTAAAGTCCAAGAGGTGTTTCCTGGCACATTTTCTTTAACTGGATTTAGTTCCAATTGTGAATGCTTCAGGTTCCAAATTTCTTGGTTCCATGTCATTTGTTGTCTGAATAAATCAATCTTATCATTTTTGTGTTTGTTATAAACTACTTTTTAATACAGGGGCACATTGGTGAGTGAATTTATTGAAATGTTATTTGGATTAATGCAACTAGGACACTTCCAAATTTGATGAAGTAATAGTAGTAACCCTTGCTAAAATGATAGGCCACTATTGTCAACAATCATATATTCTTTCTTGGTTTTTTTGTATACCAGTTTTGAAATAATTAGTTTGGTGAATTTAGTTTTTAAAATAATTTTTTCAATTATCTATATATGATACTTTGAAAATAAATTAACATTTTTATATTTAAAATCAATAATCCATATTCATTACCAAAAGGCACCCAATTGTATAACCTTCTTTTATCTTAAAAAGGAGTGGAGGGGGTCTACTCCGTGTGTGGACAAAAAAGTGTGTGAATGGGGGAGGGGTTCTACTCCTGTGTGGGCAAAAAAGTGTGTGAATGGGTGAGGAGCTCTATTCTGTGTGTGGGCGAATGGGGGTTGGTTTTTACTTTGTGTGGGTAAAAAAGGTGTGTGAATGGGTGAGGGGCTTTACTCCATGTGTGGGCAAAAACGCGTGTGAATGGAGATGCGTGTGTTTCTTCTAGTAAATGTAAAAATAAATTAATAAAATAAAATATTCTATATTCATTTTTTCAATTATTTCATAGATTCACTTATCCGTTAATATTCTCTCATATTATGTTTTTTTTTTTACAAAGAATATACACCCACTTTCCTGCTTCAACCATTGATCATGTTCTAATTGAATTAACACCTTAGTAAACTCTCTGTAATTAACCTTATCCATCCTTAAACGAAACCAAAAAAAAAAAAAAATGGAAGAAGATAAATAATAATAATATGAAGATCATATGCAGGCAATAACTTAATTATTGTGTTCGGATTACTTTGCATTGTTTTTTTTTCCGGAAGATACGGGAGATTTTATATATTAAACGAAATTACAAACGGAGGCAAGCCTCCACTTTGGGCCAGGTACACGAATGATGGCCTTGCCAAATCACAAAAAACAAAAGAATTGTACACAGGGCCGAACCCAACAGACAAAGACATTTCTAGTCTAATACAGGCGAACTAGACTATTCATGTCTAGGGCAAAAACACAATGCTTGAAGCGATTACATTCCGGTGTGACAAATTAGGGCAAGAACCCTAAGGCGTGAGATCCGGTGGCTCAGGTGGCGAACGAATGAACGCCAGCAAATCCCAATCGAGCATCAGCCTTCTGGCAATGGGTGAGTCTTTAACCTTAATAGATAGCAACTTTTGGCGCACCATGTTTGTGATTTGCCTAAAGATTGCGATCTGCGAGCATCTTTGGCTTGTGAAGATTCTGTTGTTGCGCTCTTGCCAAATTCTGTTGACGGCCATGGAGAGGACAAGTTTGTTCACAGAGGATCTGAGGTCCCCTCTTGGCCAACGATTCGTGATCCATTCAACAAGATCCGTCCAAGATGAAGGAGCAATATGAAGCCCGCACTTGTGCTGTAAAGAAATCCAGATGGGTCTAGTGTATGAGCAAGCAAAGAATAGGTGATTGTGTGTTTCGTCCACCATATTACAGAGCTTACAGACTCTGGAACAAGTGAATGATCTCATGCTGCTTCGATCGAGGGTGGGAAGTCTACCTTGCACAGCGAGCCATAGAGAGAACTTACACCTTGGGATTGAGAAAGGACTCCAGATCAGATGATGCCAAGGCTTTGGGAAACTGTGTGTTGACAACCATCTGATTGTGTGGCTAAGAGAAAATGATCCTGAAGGAGATGGCAGCCAAACAAACATGTCGTCTGTTGTAGACAGAGGAGGAATGCCGACAATATCTGGAAAAAGATAAACTACAGATTGAGAGAAATGCCATTGGGCATCATGGTAAAGAGAATCAAGTTTCTGATCAGGTAGGATTGGTGAATTAAGTAAGTTTTCTCTTGTAGTTTTGATAGAGAGAGGACCCCCTTGCAACCAGTTATCCTCCCAAAAGAAGGTTCTAGATCCATTTCCCACTTTTGTGAAAATCATTGCTCTAGCCACTCCTCTAAGGTTTAGGATTTTTTTCCAATTGCTTGAGCAGGCCTGAGGAGGGCTAATTGACCAGAAACATCTGTCCCTAATGAGTTGAGTTCGCAACCCAATTGGCCTATAGGTTGTCTCTTCTGTTAGAAATGAGTGTCCATATGTGTCTAAGATTAGATGCTTTGTTGGCAATTGCAAGATCCCTGAACCCAAGGCCTCCAAGTTCTTTAGGTTGGCAACATGCAGCCTAATTGACCTTGGCACCAGAGTGCTTGAAGTCTGTTCCCGACCAGAGGAAGTTCCTCATGAGATTAGTGACCTCTGCAATAACTGATTTGGGCAGGATAAACAAGCTGGACCAATAGTTAACCATGTTGTAGAGCACTGACTGAATAAGTTGAATCCTTCCAGCATAGGAAAGGAAGCTGGAAGACCAATGACAAATTCTTCTAGTGATTCTTTCCACAAGCCCTCTACAATCATCAGCTTTGAGCCTAGTGGAGAGAAGAGGAACCCCCAAATATCTTATAGGAAGTGAACCACACTCAAAGCCGAGTAACTCCTTAGTGGTAGTGATGAGAAAGCTTTCCATCCCAATATCAATCTTATAAATATTATTAGCACTTATTGAAGGAATAATCCATTTGTTTAATTTATTTTGAACATTTTCATATTCGACTAATTCTAAATTTTTTTATCAATTCAAACAGAAGAAGACAAAAAACTTTTAAGAAAGTCTTTGATTCTACAGTTCACAGCTAATCAACTATTATGGCTTTACTCTTATCACATAAATTAGTGGTGGATTATCCGACTGCACTCTGATCCAGCACTCACCATCCATTTGCTATGCTGACTTCAAAGTTTAATTTTCAAGTCCAAATTTTTATATATAAAAAGAGGGCCATGTTTACCCTTAAAGCATCTTTCAGTTTTCTATTCTCTCTGTGTAAAATTTCGTAGGGCCTGTTTATTAATGATTTCTGATTTTTATTGTCAATTTCTAAAATTGAAAATCAAAAATAAAAATTATGTTTAATAAAATACTTTTACTTTTTTATTTTAAGAAAGTACTTCATAATTTTGTGAAGAGAAGAGAAAGTGAGAAATCCTCACTTTCTTGTTTTTTTCACTGTAGTGAAGGAATTACTTTCGCCACTGTAGCGAAACTTCTACTGACCTCACCCGTATCACCCCTTCTCACTGAATATCACCACAACCACCATCTGTCTTCTCTCTCTTCTTCTCTCTACCACCACAAACTACTACCAAACACTGTCGATTAGCCATTGAAAACTCCAACCCTTCATCGTTTTGAAAGATGCAAGTTGCATATGAAATTCCTCCTCAAAGAAGTTAAAATCAACGAAATTATTTGCCGAATCGGAGACCCTGGTGGTCTCAAATGCTGCCTCCGTTGCCGACGGAGTTCGAGTCGTATCCGATGAGAGAAGAGAGAAGACAAACACTTTCTCTCTATAGTTTATCTCTCTACTGGTTTAACCTAAGCCCATTTGGCTGAAAGTAGATGAACGGCGCCGACGAGCAGTTTCTCCAAGCTGAGGCAGGACTGAACGTATCGACGGACTGAACGACGACGAAACTGTGATGATGTGAGCAAGGAATCAGGCAATTGGGCATCGGAGAGGGAGACCCAAATTCGTATCCACAAGCAATTTATACTCCAAAATTTTATTCCTAGTTAGTTAGTTAGTCCGTGAATTCCGGCATCGGAGAGGGAGACCCAAATTTGAGGCTCTGGTTTCCATGGATTCCGGCATCTACACACAGTATATAGAGAGAGATTGACGAGACTGAGGTCACAACAGGAAAATATGTAAAACTAGCAATGCAGCCCACAACAGGAAAATATGTAAAACTGGCCAATTTAAATTACACAAGATTAATTATTCTTGATCAGTAGCTTTGGAGAGGATTTTGACAATTGACAACTTGAGGAAGAGCTGTCTAGTATGAACTGGTGTTCCATCTTCTATGTACAAGAGGGATAAGGAGTAAGTGAACATTTCCTTTTGCATTGTCTTATGACTAGAAAAGTTTGGACGATGTTTTTTTTTTTTTTTTTTTTTTTTTTTTTGATACATTGGATTTTGTTGGATTCTACAAGGAGCATTGCCAGGCTTGCAGACCCAAATTTGAGGCTCTGGTTTCCACGATCCGGCATCGGAAGAGAGAGATGGTTCACTAACAAGAATTGTTTTGGTTGCTGGATGGATTTTTGGTTTGGAAATGGTCTATAGGGGGTGAATATCAGCCTTGTCAATCTCTCTGTACTTTTTCTATATACCCATAGAATACAGGGGTGAATTCAACCAGAATCACACCTGTATACAGAGATTGTATATATATATATGCTTGTAATCATTTGTGTTAAGTCTATGTTGCCCATCTCTTACACAGGAAAGCAAAATTAAAATTAAAATTATAAAACTTACTTTCTATTTTTTGCTTTCAAAATATTGAAAGTAAAAAAAAATTAGGATAAAGTGCAAAAAACCTCCCTCAACTATGTTTTGTGCATAAAACTCCCTAAACTATCACATTTAGTTGCAAAATGCCCCATTGTCTTACCTATTTTTCATTAAATGACCATAATACCCTTTCTTATTGAATTACACTTGATATATTTTTCTTGTTAAAATAAATTATGAAAAAAATTCATACTAATTTAATGAAATATTCTCCATTAAATTTGCATAAGTTTGCCTTTAATTTTTTAAATTAATTATTTAAATAAAAATCTTAAATAGAAAATTTTGAAACAATTTAAGTAATTTCTTAATTTTCATAAATATCTTGCATTAAAAAGAAGATATTTTTTATTTACGTAATTTATTAATTTTTTAAAAGTGAGTATAATAAGCTTTATTATAATAAGTTAATCATTTTAGAAAAAGATAGCTACAAATTTATTTATTTATTTTCCATTTTTATAATCAATTGATACTAATTATAAAATTAAGGTAAATGGTATAATTAATATTTAAATAAGAGAAAATATAATAAAAACAATTTAATAAATAAATTTGTAAAAATGAAATTAAATAAATAAATTTGTAGCTATCTTTTTCTATAATAAAAACAATTTAATAAGAAATGATAAATTTAATAACAAAGGGTAAAATAGTCTTTTGTGATGGGTTTGTCCTTAATTGTAACAAATTAATAATTTAGGGGGACAATCTTTAATTCAGGTGGGTTAATTACAAAAAGCTAATAATTCATGGGAGTTTTTTGCATTTTACTCAAAAAATTATTAAACATTATTTTACTTTCTATTTCAGCTCAAAAAACCAAAATCATGATTTTACTTTTACATAAATCAAAAGTAAGAAAATGAAAACTTGGACCTAAGTGTGTACTTTTATGTTGGAGTACAACAATAAAGAACAAAATTTTCTGTAATTATTGTAGGGTAGTACGACCCACTTCATCTATTTGACCGAAACTAGGAGGCATCAAATCTCTTTATCTAATTTGATATAAAATGGCACACACTCAGAGTTGCACTCAATAACTAAATCGTCCTGATTTTATTCCTTCTCAAAGTAGAATTTGAGTCAATCTGAATTCAATCCGTTCAGAATATCGTACAGTATGTTTCGTTCCTTATCTGGCAGAGAATCTTTATACGCCTTTATATATATACACACACCAATACTCTATTCATCTTCACTGATTCTTGTTAGTATTTGCTTTTCTTTCTTGTGCTTCTGGTTTATACATATTAAATTTTTGTGTGAGACGAACAGAGAGAGAGGAGATGGAGATTGATCTGTCACCAAGATTTGTGAAGAAGGTGCATGGAGGAAACGGAAGGGCTTAGTATGCTTGGTGTCCCAATGAGCTCCCAATATTATGTGAAGGCAACATAGGCGCTTCTAAGCTTGCTCTTGAGAGGAATAGCTTCGTTCTTCTGAGATACTCTGATTCTGCCAAGGTCGCTTATATTTTTCAAGGTATATATACTTATATATATATATATATATATATATATATATTCTAAATTTATTCAATGATCATGATCTTATTGTTGGGAGAGATGACAATAAACAAACACAGCGGAATAATTCTTCTCCCTATATGCAAGCAAATATAGTATATCTCTACTTTTATATGTGCTGAAAATAATAGAGAACAAATCAATCACACTAAGTCACAAAAACACAAGCAATTTTTTATGTAGAAAACTTCCCCAGTGTGAGGAAGAAAAATCACGGGACCTAGTCCAGTTAAAATCTCCACTATCAACCAAATAATGGGTACACAAAATCTTCTCTAATCGCAATTAGAGGCTACAAAACATCTCATCAAGATAGCAACAATCTTGGCAAAAAATAAAGAGAATTGGAGAGAAAAAATACCAAAACCCGGTTACTGTTCACGGGCACGAATCACTGTTCCCGAGCTCAAAATCCGATCTCCACCGTTCAAATTTTAACTTACTAAGTCATGAACCTCTCTTTCAAATTTCAGCTCGATCGGACAACGGACGAAGCGGGATCGGACATTTGATGAAATCTAGGCAGAATAGAAAAACCTGCGTTTTTCTACCAAAACCCAGTTACTGTTCACGGGTACGAATCACTGTTCCCGAGATCAAAATCTAATCTCCACCGTTCAGATTGTGCGCCACTGAGTTGTGAACCTCTCCTCCAAATTTCAGCTTGATCGGACCACGGATGAAGCAGAATCGGACGTTTGATGAAATATGGGCAGAATGAAAAAACCTGCGTTTTTCTTCTCTTTGTTCTTTTACTTGCGGCTAACCTCTCTTTCTTTTTATACTAACTTCCTTAGGGTTTTCTTTTCCCTAAAGGCTGGGCTTTGGGCTTTTAATAAAACCCACTTGGGCTTTCTTCCATATAGAAGGAAATAAACCCAACAAATCTCCCCCTTTTCGACTATGTGGAGGGAATCGCCATCCCGGCGATCGAACAACAAACTTCAAGCTTCTCTCTTGGTAATGTCTTTGTCAACATATCAGAGCCATTATCATCAGTGTAAACCTTCTCAAGTTCAAGTAACTTATTGTTCAACGCATCTCTGATCCAATGGTATCATACATCAATGTGCTTAGATCTTGTATGGAAACTGGAATTTTTAACAAGATGAATAGCACTCTGGCTATCACAAAACAACACATACCTCTGCTGCTTGAAACCAAGTTCTCTCAAGAACTTCTTTGCCCATAGGAACTCTTTAGTCGCTTCTGTTGCTGTAATAAACTCTGCCTCTGTCGTAGAAAGAACAATACACTTCTTAAGTCTCGATTGCCA